GTAGCTTTGTAGACTCTTACATGAAACTAAAGGGTTATGATACTGAATTGAGCAGTTACAATCCAGAGTCTGACATTGTAATTAATTTATCTAATAAGACACTATCCAATGAGAACAAAATATTTTTTAGGATGTATATTTGATTCAAGTCAATACAGTTGGATTTTAAGGCAGAGTTAAGACCATTTATTAGGTTAGATAGTACATTCATTAAAACAAAAAGCTAAGAGACCAGTATTGATTGTTATTGGTCAAGACAACATGAACTGTTTTAACCTCTAGCTTGGGCCGTGATAGAAAAAGAGACTAAAAGAATTTGGACATTGTTCATGCAACAATTGCAACATTTACTTGATCTTCAGAATGGTGAAGGTCATTCATATAATTCCCTTTATTTAATACTATTACTTTATTTTATTTAATTATTTTTATTTGATACTCAAGGATTGCTTGATGCAGTAAGAATAGTTTTACCTAAAGCACATAAAAAATATTGTGCAAGATCTGTTGAGGTAAATTGATGCAAAAGACGAAGTTAAGGTGAGCTGAAAAAATTATTGTGGTGGGATGCATGGTCCTCATTTTCGAAGGAGTTTGAAAACCAACTTCAAGAGATTAAGGAAGTTGATGAGGAGGCTAGACAAAATTTATTGTACAAGTATCCTCCCAAAAGATGATGCAAAGCTTATTTAGATACAATGTGTATATGTTGTGAACAATAACTTTTATAGAGTCCTTACATACTTGGATACTTGAAGCAACATACAAGCCAATCATTGAAATGTTGGAAGACATCAGGGTCAAAGTAATGGGGAGGTTGGCAACAAAAAGAGACTGTTGTGAGGAAGTCGTAAGATAATGAATTTAGTCCCAAAAGTGAAATGTTGTCCCAAACTTTAAATTTGATGATATTTAAAGTTTGTAAGGTGAACGGCAATAGGAAAAATAACTATGAGGTAACTGAAGATGCAGATAGACATATTGTCAATCTAGGAGAGAAAAAGTCCACATATAGGACACGAGATCTCACTGAAATTCTTTGTCCACATGCAATTAAGGCCACGAAGTAGAAGAAAATGAAACCTAGGTCTAAAATTGATTAGTATTACAGTAAGGAGACATCCTGGGTATTTTACAAACACAAGTTACAATGTGTTAGGGGAGAACCATTCTAGAAATTTGATCATTTAATGTCACTGAACCATTTCTAACCACCAAAAATGGTCAAGATTATCGAAAGATCTAAGGTTCTGAGGGATAAAGAAAAGAATGAAACAATTAAGAGGCAACGAGTGTGGAAGCAATCAAGAAAAGGAAAAGTGATGACATGTAGTACTTGTGGAGAATAAAATCATAATTCAAGAGGTTGTCAAAAGGTAATTTTTATTCAATCTATTTGACAACAAAATCATAATCCAATCCTATTATTTAATTCCTTATTTTATTTTATGAATAAAAATTGCAAAACAGAAAAAATAAGCTATTGGTAGGGGAAGCAAATTGCTAAGTAGGGAAAATAAGCTATTAGGAGAAAGATGAGACAACCTAGGAGAGGTTTGATTAATGAAGAGGAACTTTTGAGGAAGACATCAACTTAACAGCCCCCAACCAACACAAGAAAGTCAACATGAATTTCAGTATGCTTCTAGCAACTATATTTCAATAGCTGAGGAAGACCCTTGGCTAAGGCTAAGAACAATTTTTAAAGAAACTTATTTAATAAAACTGAGAAAGATGCAGAACCCGCAAGATCCAATTAGAACTAGAGTAATAAGCTTTAGAGGTGACAAATCTGATGTTAATGAACCTACAAATCTCTCCATATTATCAATTGACTTAACTTGAAAGAAAAAAGATGCAATTACTACAAACCAGCTACAAGCACAGATAGTTCAAAAGTTAAGGTCAAGAAGGGGATGATGAAACTGTGTTGATGACCTTTTTTGTATAGGCTGGTGCCTTTAATAATGTTAAGGCTAGGCATATGTTTTTGTATAGGCTGGTGACTTTCTTGTATCGGCGAAACTTATGTTTTTCCTAGACTAACTGAAGTGTGACAGATTTAATAGTCTCAACAAGCACCAATATAATACCAGTTATTTAAGTTTCAGAATTATGGCACTATTTTCTATTTTATGAAAGTGCAATTTTAATGTTGACTTATAAGTTTCCTTAAACAGTTTTGGGTCATGTTAATTAGTTTGAGATTAATTATTTGTTGCAAAGAAAAACCAAATCTACAACCTCAAAAATCCCATCTCAGATATAGAAAATTCAACCATTACAATTGACAAATACCAAAATTAATTTGTTCTTACAAAATCCAATTCAAAAGATAAAATTTTGTAATCAAAATACTCATTGCGATTTCAAATCAGTTATTATAAAATTCAATTCAAAAAATAAGATTCTCTAATCAAAATACTCATTGCGATTAAATTAACACTTGCAAATTGCATTGAAGAACATATCTTGCTTACTCTAGAAAATTTCAACCAAAAAAAGGAAATGTTTCTTCCTTACACTTGAAAATTGCAACCAAGAAAAATATACACTTAACACAAAACTAGATCACTTGAAAATTGCAACAATAAGTAACAAACACAACAAATGACAATATTCACAACATCTTCAACTTCAACACTTTTGCTTTCAAATTTCTTGATTTGTTCACCTCGAAGTAGTTTATACTCTCTAAATTCTCCAAATTGTCTCTTTCAATCTTAAACGCATTCTACGACTCTCTCAAATTCTCCATTTTCACCGTAGCAACTTCCAATTTAGACTTCAATAAATTTACTTCAACCAAAGCATTTTCCGGAGAACTATATTCTCACTTTTTGCTTTCAAAATCGACAGTTTTCAATATGATGCAGAACCATAGAGAAGAATTCAGATTCATACAAATACAAGCAGAAATTATAAGAATTGACTTTAAATGAAAAACGTACCTGAGGTTTAGAACACCTATGAAATCTTCTTCGGGGTTCAATGAAGTCTTTGAAGTGAAACAATGAGCAATTTCACCACCAAAGCAAGTCATCATCATTGAGTTACTAATTGAATCACAACTAGTTTCAGACGTGGTGTAAGGTCTGATTTAGACATTGTGACAGCTGAAATCACAATTAATATCACAGAAGCAGAGATCGAAGAAGAATCGACGAAGAACACCAACGAGCTAGGATTTGTCTATCGCGAGTGAGTAGAGAGAATTTGGGCAATTTCGATTTGTTTGGATATATTATTAGGTGTTAGTAACGGGTGGGTTAGGGGATTATTTGGGCGGATCTTTTTAATTCTGGGTGGTTTTCTTTGCGGGTTTAAATTTCGTGAATATTTTGGGTAGATGCATAGGATGACAACATGTGTTCAGTCGTTAGAGTGAAGGATACAAATGCTCCATTTTTGGACACCAGGGACACTAGTGTCCAAATAGTATAAAGGTGGGTATTCATATATCATTTTCGATAGTTCGAGAGTATATTCGTCCTTTTTTTCTTATTTAAAAATGGAGAAGGGCCTAAAATGCCCCTCAACTATGTGAATTGATACAAAACTATCATCCGTCCACCTTTTGGCCCTCAAATATCCCTGACTTCAACATTTTGGTTAAAAGATATCCTTATTTCTAACCGCCCGCACTCATAAGGTGGATGAGAGGGCAATAATGTACCAATTTCCATAGTTTAAGGATATTTTAGGCCCTTCTCCATTAAAATATAATTTGAAATTACTTAATATATGAACTAATATGATTGACCTAATTTTGGGAGGTTCCACAGTAAAATCACCTCCCCCCTCCTCCCTCTTCACTTTCTCTCCTTTCCACTTTTTTTCCTCTTTGAATATTATTCCACCATTTTAAATTTTAATTTCTTAAAACGAATTATGACAAAACAAGGGAGAAAAAAAAATAACGAGGACATTCATATAGAAATAATTAGTTCAATAGAAGATAATTTAATAATAATTTTTTCTTTTGTGTGCACCCAAAATTCAAAATACACGAATAGAAGTACTCTTTTCTCATATCCACACCCCTACCCCATCAAGATGATAATATAAATTAAAAGAATATGAACATGTAAGTTTATTTCAAGTTTGAGTCTTTGAGATCCTAATTATGAATAAGAGATTAAAAAGGAACCAAAAAAGGTAATAACCAGACAATTGAATAATTAATAGAAAATTTTATATTAATAAAAAATAATAATATTTTTTAGATGGACATTTAGACACGAATTTTAGATGGACCCCGTTATGAATTTAGTAATAATAAATTGGGTTTTGATTTAAAATAGGTTAAAAAATTTTGAATATTATTTTCAATCGTATCAAGTCAAAATATGAATTATATGTAATTATTATTATTTTATTTTTTTGAAAAAAGTTTAAATTTGAACCAATCAGATTAAGAAACATAATAAGTAAATATTTAATAATTTTACTTTAAGGGAGTTGTTAAAAATAAGAGCAAATATGAGCCAAAAGTTAAAGATTTTAAGGATATTTTTGAACCAAAAGATTGACTATTTGAGAGTCAAAAGTTGGATGGAGGATAGTTTGTACCAATTCAAATAGTTTAGCGGCATTTTACGCCTTCTCTGTTTAAAAAAATATTTTTAATTTCTTTAGCAAATTTTCAAACATAGACTCCCACATAACTTGTTTAAAAGAAAAAAAAAATTTAAGTCCAAACATGATAATGAACTCATGTTCTAAAAAAACTCGAGGTACTTCGAATTGTTTGTTGACACGATGCTTAATTTTATGTTGATAAGAAAATGAAATTAAATGTTGTACAAAAGAACGTAAATTTATGTGGAGAGTAGTTTCTCCAACCTAAGTCACCAAAGCTTAGTAGAGCCCAAGTGAATCCACTCATTGATTAAGTATCAATCAATCAACAATTCCTCTTCAGCTGGAATTAACAAGATGAAATATTCTGTGATGATTCCAGCAAAAAACTTCGAAAAAAGTCATAAGAAACGAAAGTCCGATAGTCCCCTAAACATCCATTTAAAACATAATCACAGTGGAGCCACCAAGAGAAGAACAATTGGAATGAAATGAACTCAATGACCAATGTTTCTATCTACAATATCAAATAGGGCATGAAGAATTAGTTACAGAAAAAGCCCTTTCAGACAGCAGCTCGTTGATCCTATATACAAGCACATCAGAAAGGGAGATTCATCAGAATGCATCACTTTAATGTCTGTTCAGTTCTTGCATTTCTGTCATTTAAGTGAAGATGTTCCAATGATTATCTGACGGTAAGCCTAGTTTGATTTTTTCGAGTGTCTTTAGAATCTCTAAGAACGAAGGTCTCTTGTTCACATCTTTAGCCCAGCACTGCTCTACCAACCTGCATGGAATTGGTTGAAGTTAGCAAAAACAGCATCAAGTTCCACTTCAAACTCCATAAGAGTTGTGAGGTCTAACATGCTACGTCTACAACTCTACATAATTCTAAAAGGAGCAATTTTAGACATGTCTATGCTAGTTAGAGCTAAAACCGTTAGAAGTAATTAAACAACAAAGGTGGTTGCCAATAGACTGACTAGGTGATGCATCATATTTTTTGGATGCCACCCTCTTTTTCGATATCATCACAACTATTTTTTCTTTCTTGTCCCTTGAAGCAAATTGTTCCCAATTTGGGGAAGTTCTATGGGCTTACGCTCCAATGAACATCTGGAAGGTTGGGCCTTATGTTATGCCTAAGCAAAAGCCCAAAAAGTTGGGAGTTACGCCTCCCCCCCAACAGCAGCCTCCTTTCTCAATGCTTTTTTGCCCACCCGCCCAGAAACCACCTTTCGAAACACTGCATAAGACTACTGAATTCAAAGTAATTGGGTAACCTTTTCATTTTTGGCAGTAGAGGTCAAGTATCAAGTTCCAAACTCTAAAAAAACTTGAATGATGAACGTATCAATCTCCAATGTTTACTTACTCTTTCAATTCTGGGGTCAAACCTTTTACCCTGAACATCGGCCTGTGTCCTTCAGCCACATATTTTGCTGCTTCATATGGTTCATAGTGCGACAGTGGTGGATCACCCTCTAGCATCTGCACCATTGTTCATTATTCATTAATAAGTTTTATTTCGCTCTCCCATTCTGCTAGAAAGCCAGCAAGGATTAATATTACCTCATAAAAGATCATTGCAAAAGAGAAGACGTCAACCTTCTTGTCATATTTCCGGTGTTTGAAAACTTCAGGAGCCATATATCGGTCTATGGATTGATCATATGGAAATAAATTAGAAAGAAATAACACCATTGATTAAAACGTCAATGAATGAAAGGAGGTAAGACAACTGCACTCACAGCTCCCAGTCTCGCCTGTCATTTTATAAACATCATGGGAATTTTGAACCCTTATTAGCTTGCTCAATCCAAAATCTCCAACTTTCAAATGGTCAGCACTGGAGTTGACAAGGAGAACATTCCTGGAAACGTTACCATATTCAGCACTATAGCTAATGGATCGTAAAGATAAAAATAGCATCATGTTATCAGCATCAAATAAGAGTTTCTCCATACACAAATTGCATAGATCAACCAATAATAGAATCATGAAGAGAAGATTAACAGACCTGGGCTTCAAATCTCTGTGGATTACAACATTTGGTTCATTGTGAAGATAAGCCAAGCCTCTGCCCACATAAACATATAGCCTTACGTGAGCAAACTACATATGAAATGCGAAGTGATTTGTATAAAATGTCAGATGGCTACAGTAGTTTCCTTATAAAATGGCATGACAGGATACTTCATCAGATAACCTTATCAGGTCAGAATGAGCTACACATGATAATGACTGTTTTTTTTACATGCATTTTTCAGCCACCTCCCCCTGTAAAAGCAAAGTAAAAAGCCCAGCTAACTATAAAAAAGATAACTTTTAGACAGAAGCTAAATTGCCAAACATTCAATTTTTCTACCTCTTGCGTGATTCCTAAACAGTTGCAAAAAACTGTAAGTTGAATATCCACCAATAAAATGTAAATGCTAGCAAAATGCTATAAAATAGAAAAGATAGAAGCACCAAAAAAATTTCTCTGTTCAGGTTAGTTTTCTGAATGAAACTTTTGATAAGTACGAGTTTATTGATGTATGCCAGCATTAGTTTCCAAAATGAATCACCCATCATTTCTTTTTATCAAGTAACAAATTTTATTGACAACGGGCAAGAAAATACCCATAAGGAGTATTACCAAAAAGTAGAAAACCTTACAAAAGGATATGGTTTTCTACAAATGACACAATCTTCTATCCCTACAGGAACCTCATGGGTGCACCAAAAACAAACTTTCCCATCATATAACCAGGGCATCAGATATACCACTGTCACAAAAGCAGATAGGAAGCTGGAATGATCTGGAGTTCAAGTAAATTAACACTGAAATTTTATAATTCATCAAGATTACCTTGCTATATCCAAAGCAAAATTAACTGCTGTAGATGGACTAAGAGCACCTTTTCCCTTGAGGTACTGATGAAGGTCACCCTAACAATACAATAAATGCATGAAACTTCACAAGTTAGAGAGAAGAATTCAATATCCATTTTACAGAAAGAAAGAGCAATCACATACCCCTCTCAAGTATTCAGTTATTAGCATCAAGGGCTTCTTCTCAGTAACAGCTCCAAGAAATTGCACTACATTTGGATGACGAAGCTTCACCAGCAAATTTACCTCATGTCTGAAATCCTGACTGTATCAAAAGTAAAGCAGTATTATGTTTCAATCCAAAAAGGAATTAAATCAGGTACCAATAAAAAGGAATTAGCATGTAGCAACAATAAATTTTTATAAGGGGGTCTAATTGCATACAAACTTACAGCTATATGAATCTGGGTTAACTGCTAACCTTAATTGAGAAAAACATTGCAAAGAATTAAGAAGGTTCACACCCTATAGTAAGTACATATGTAGTACTTCTTGCTCCACTTTATTTGAAAGTCCTCACGGAAAATAACAGATTTAGGTTAAACTTATTGTTCCAAAGCAACACTATTATTGATTGACTATTAATGATGCCACCATTTTGCAAAGGCCACCAATGTCCTAGGTGCAGAAAGTTCTAATTGTTACTATCTTTTTACTTTTCTGATCAATTGACTAAGCTTCAAAAATCAAACATAATGAAACAAAGCTGTATAGGCCTCCATCCCCATCCCAGAAACAAACCAAAATACAAGACTTGAAAACCTCAACAAACAACCAAGATGGACTTCATACCAGAAAGCACCAACATAACATTGTAATGATAAATCCACTAGATACTTACATCACCAATTGATCATCTGAAAGGTTTGGGAGAATGCGTTTAACAGCTACAGGTGTTCCACGCCAACAAGCTTTTATTATTTCACCAAAAGACCCCTATCAATATTAGCTCTCATTAGCAATGATGAATATTAGATATATAGAACCGTATTCTCATAGTTAGAAGAAACTTGACTCAGAAACAACGTAAGTAAATATATAATTGGTAACATAAAAATAACTAAATGAAAAAAAATGGTTGAGGCAGCACTGGGCAAGCAATTGTGAAGATAACCCTGGTGTCTCTGTGTTCTGAGGTGATGATACCAAAATCACAGTTACCAGGGGAACGCAAGAAGCAGAAAACACCTTGAATGCTTCCCCAAACAAAAAAAGTACTGTCTTTCTCTATTTAGGTGAAAGTTCCTAAGGGACATATAAAATGCTCGCTATACTTCAAAACCGGAAAACACTTTTTGCTATATTTAACCAAAGGGCAGCAAAAAAGCACCTAATAATATTCCATACAATTCTCAGAATTTTTCAGAATTCAAAAGCTTCATCATAGGCAAAGTATTTTGAAGCAACTAGGCGGCAAGAAGTTAGCTTATACATCGTGATATAAGATACAGCTGCAATATTCTTTGTGGACAAATGACTTTATCAAAAGAACAAATGGGCATATAGTAGGCATAACATCAGAAAAAAGTGTCATTTAAACGAGACACGAGAAATTGTATAAGATTAACCATCATTACGAGAAAATAACTATTTTAATTGACAAGATACTTGGTGGATCGAAGCTATACGAAATCGAACAATATGACTTTGATTCAACCTCTAATAAGTTAATTTACAATCACTATTAATACAACTTGTACCTTCCCAATGATTGCTGAGTTAGAGAAATCCAGCTCAGTAGGATCAATCTCCCAGTCACACTTCTTTGGCAAAGGGGGTGGAACAGCCCTTGGTTCAAAATGGCTCCCATCTTGCCCCTACAGCATTTCCACAAATAATTATATCCCGCTGAAAAGCATATCCCCATATGTCAAAGAATGAGTTTGCAGATTTAACGGGATGGGAAAGCGATTTCCAACATTAAGAGATGCATTCTTTAAAGTGCTGGAAGATGAGATAATGTACAGATAATAAGCACGCACATGCGCGTGCACACACACACACACACACATGAATGTCAGATCCAGCTTCCAAGTAATCCGAGTCAAACAAATCACTTATTTCCTAAATGTGGGTATTCTTTCACAAACATAGAAAATATCCAGCATATCATACCATGCATGTACTTATTCGCTGGGTCATCAAGTAACCTTCACTTCCCTACCATGAGATAAATAAGACAATAATGGTCATACATGTGCATGATATATAGGGTCTTGATAACCTACTACATGAAGGTAGTAGGTTAATACTGTCAGCATTTTCATTTCACTAAAATGTCCTTACTATTTTTGCCAACTCATTAAAAATAGGGGCCTTTACGCCATTGCGTACCAAATTACAAATCCCCCAAAAATTCATTCTCGCCCCAGCATCACCCAAACGTCATCGTCTCTTTTCTTTGCTTTCCTTGTCATCGTCAATGGTGAAGTCACAGCAACAAACATTTGCCTACTGATTTCCTCCCCAAACCCAGAAAATGGGAGGGGGGGATTCAAAAAGTAAACCTTAAATCTATTAAAGTAGATACAACAACAACCAAGTGAAATCTCACTAAGTAGGGTCTGGGGAGAGTAGAGTGTACGTAGACCTTAGCACTACCTCGAGGAGGTAGAGAGGCTGTTTCCGAAAGACCCTCAGCTAAGTGCATCAAACTCAAGTACAAGAAGAAGAAAACAATGAAGAAGCATAGCAATTAATAACAAAAGAAGTGTAAAAGTCTACAAGAAAGAACAGTAACATCAATAAATAGAATGTAAAAAAATAAATCAAAAAAGAATAAATGATAGAAGGAAAAATAGGTTTCTAATAAGAAAAATTGCATGAAGAAGTTTGGTTGGTTGTATACTTGTATTCACAACGAGAAAGAGAGAAAAATAGAAGGGAGAAGCCAAATCGAGATGGAAGAGAGTGGGAGTGAACAGAAGCAGATTTTTTTAGCTTTTCTGGTAAAAAGACAAGGACCCCTCTCACTAATAAAGTTATTATATTCTATTGGGGGCTATTAAGGAAAACGAAAAATGGGGACATTGCTAACCTACTACCTCCATGTTGTAACATCAAAACCAAACCAACAACATACACAGTGTAGTCCCACAAAGTAGGTCTGGGAAGGGTAGAGATGACCTTCATTTGTAGGTTAGCATATATATGTGTGTGTGTGTCAATCATAAACAGCCTCTCTACCTCACAAAGGTAGGGGTAAGGTCTGTCTGAATACATACTACCCTCCTCAAATCCCACAAGTGGGATTACACTGGGTATGTTGTTGTGTGTTGTCAGATACTCAGATCCAGCTTCCAGGTAATCCAAGTCTCACAAATCACTCATGTCCTAAATGTCGGTATTCTTTCAAACATCCAAATATCCAGCATATCATGCCATCTATATACTTAATGGCTGGGGTCATTACGTAGCCTTCTTTCCTACCAAAAGATAATTATGGTCATTAATGATATGACAGGTAAAAGAATGCAGAATAAGTGTCGCTGAAAATTATCAATCACGAAGTTAGGAGAACAAATAAAACTATGAAAAAGAATCATTACAAGATTAATTAGTTCATATAGTTTTTGTTAGATGAGCACCTAGACCTTGATGGGAATAGAGGTAGCAGCCAGATAAATGTCATATCAAAAGGCATCTCTGACCGCACCCAAAGGTGTGGCCTAGTGGTCAATCTCTGAGGTCTCAGGTTCAAAACTCAGTGGAGACAAAAAAACACTAGGTGATCCTTCCCATCTGTCCAAAGCTTTGGTGGACAGAGTTACCTGGTACTTGTTGCTAGTGGGAGGTGGCAGGTATCCTATAGAGTTAGTCGAGGTGCGCAAAAGCTGACCCAGACACCACGGTCATAAAAAAAAAAAGTATCTCTGACCCTAACACAAGTTGAGAGTTTAGGTGTAGAAAAATCATAAAACTCCAAATAACGTAATATATTGATGAGACATCAATTCTATCAAATTTAGCCTAAACATGATAAGCAAAAGAACTCACATAAGATAGGCCACCATATGACTTCAACAATTCGATCATACCATGTTTCTTAGCTCCTTCTGCATCAGCTAAAGGCTGTAATCAATAATAGCATACCCAGAGAGTGAATCTATTATAGGACCAACAACTTCATAGAAAAATCAGGGTCAACATTTTCATCCACATATACACAAACATATATCTCACGAGAACAGAGAGGTAGGGGAGGGAATTGAAATCAAGGAGCTGGACAACAAAGCAATATCAAGTTTAACTTTTCTCACAAACAAACAATGTGAGTCGCATCATGGAAATAATTTTCTCAAAGCTCAACACTCAAGACTAGTAATTTTTGCTTCACTTGGAGCATATTAATATGATATTTTTTGAGAAGTTTACATAAATATTATTTGATTCATCCAAAAGTAAATTTAAAACTCACTGATTCAGGAAATGGGTTGTTATCTCCTTATATGGTATTAAGCAACCCTCACTTTGTCACTCATGAGCTAGCTAGCTTTTGAGGTTGAGTTAGGTCCAAGGTCCATTTCTCAACAAGGCATTAACCATACCCATTTATGTTCTTGGTTTACCCAATATGTTATATTGTATCCACATGTCTACCCTTGGCATGGGGGGCGTTAAGTGCCTCATATTGGTGGATAATTAGCTTTTTATGCTTAATATTGCATAACATGGTATCAAGGCTAGACACATTCATATTTTTGGTTTACCCAATATTAGGCCCCTATACTATATTATCTAGTACCAAATGTTTTGTCCTAGGAGCGTAGGGAGCATTAAGTATCTCGCATTAATTGAGGGAGTTGGTTATTGTTTCTTCTATTTGGACAATCATTACTTAATGAGCTAGCTTTCAAGGTTGAACCAGACCCAATGTCTCTCCTTTTTTTCATTTTTTTGAAAATGGTAATGGTGTATTCTTCAGCATTAAGACGATGCTGGTGACACCTGCAAACAGAGGGGAACAAAAGAAGAGAAAAATAAATAAAAATAAAATATTTACAAGGGTAATAATTCTACAATTTGTTCCGTAACCTCTAAACCTTTCTCCTTTTTTCCAAACAGAAATAAATATTCCACTGAATTACAGAAGAACATTTTGGAAGTAAAATAAATTGTGGTGGTTATGTTCCTGTACATTGGGAGGAAAAACAATTTTCTTTCAAGATTTAACCAAACACATCTACATGTGACAGTAGTTGGCAGGAGGGTTCAGGTCTGTCATCAAAAATGTCAAATTGCACACTCAGGATGTTGGTTCATTCAAATCCAGAGCGAATGTTTTCTCTCTACGGTCATAAGCCCAACAAACAATTTTAATCAAAATTATAAGAAAGGTAGAAGGGTTTGCTATATTTGGGATATCAATGACATCCGTTTTGCTTTTTTGACAATATAATTAAATCCATATTTCCATATCACTCACTAATTTTGGATGACATTGATAAAAATTTCAACAGCCAATAATTGAACTCGTAAGGTCAAAACTTATCACCTCTAGCATCCTAATTCAACTTTAAAGAAAGATTATTGAAAGAGCAAGAACTCTCACCAAAGTTTTCGATATGTTTAATGGTACAAACTACAAAGTAAGCATACTAGCCATGACTCAATGAGGTTTCTTAAGAATAATCCTGCTGACCTGCTTATAAACATACCTAGGGTTGGTCCAAATTTATTGACAATTCATACATTGAAAAGGTTCCGTAAATACCTTATCCTATCTGAACAATTCTAGCAAAATAGATATCAAAAGAAAAATATGTGGGAGGTCAATAGTTCCCCTCTACCCTCTAATTTCCACACTATAGAATAAAAAAAATCCCCTTTTGATTCCGCTTTCCCTCTTTTTCCTAACAAATATATTTCAGAACCAGTTTTCAATAGCATTTTGACCTCTTCTTTATTATCCTTCTAATAACATGAAAGTTATTTACATGTTTGTGCTTTTTCCGTACATGTTCAAGAAATAACTCAAACAGAGATGTGAAAGGACAAATAACCAAGTCAGACATTTTCTGTTCCTATAAATACTAAAATTTTCAGATATCCATCACTGTTATTTATCAAAAACATTTTATTAACCCATATAACACATGAATCTCATAGAAAAATCAGACAGTGTGGAGACTGAAATGACTGATCATAGCAACTTGTTATAAGATGACCTTTGACAGCAACATTGTATAATAGGATGACAAGCTACAGCCAATTTTTACTTAAGTAACATCAAAGCAAAATAGCAGCAGTCTATTAGAGATCGAGTCTAAACCTCTATGCCGCTATAATTGCGCAGAAGTAGGCATGAACTAAACAAATGCCTGAGTAAACTCAAATTCTTGTAGCTAACCTTTAACAGCTCCATTGTATTATAGGATGACGAATTACAGTAATTTATATCATCTTCAGCAACAACAAACAAAACAGAAGCTTTCTGCTAGAGATTGACCCTCTAAGTTATTCTTTTTATCAAATTTTCCAAGTAAGTACGAGAGGCAGAATGTTTGACTAGTGACTTTCAATGACTAAATTGAAAATACAAAAGAACAAGAACATCTATGTAGAATCTCTCAGAATCAAGAGCTTTTTTTCCCCAGACTCCCAAATAAAGATACATGCCACTTCATCTTTCTTATTTCTCACTTGTTCGTGTAGTTCATTGATGAGCCTTTTCCGGTAAGAACATCATATTTCTTCTACTTTAGTGCTGTACTCATAGTTTTGATTAAAGGTTTATTTGTGCTGATCTTTTGCTTAACTCCCTACTAGACATTAAGAATTGGTTTAACAATTTAAAAATCCAGGTTTGCACACAAGCCATCATTTTTATTCTTCTGCTTGGTTGCATTTACAACAAAAAATATTTTACGATATTTTAATGAAATCACTTGTGCACACTTGGTAATAGCCTATATTTAAGGCTATAATGAAAGAGTGATCGTAAACATTGCTTGTTTATCCTTTATCCTTCCTGTTGATGGGAAACTCGAAATGGCAAAATCCGATATAGCAGCCAAGAATCGCAAAATGGATCGAATATTTATGATTTAATGGAATAATCAACATTGGTTATGAAGTTGTTCACGATTGGCAAATCAAAGAATCAGGGATTCCAAAGACTAACAATAAGAATCAAGACAATGGTATAGAGGTATGTGAGTTTTGATAATGAGTTTTGTTTTTGATGACCGTGATGCCCGAACCAGCTTTCGCGCACCTCGACTAATTCCACGAAATACCTAACACCTCCCACCAGCAAAAGGTACCAAGTAACTCTGTCCACCAAGGCTGGGACAGATGGAAAGAATCGCCTAGTGTTTTTTGTCTTCGCTGGGAATTGAACCTGAGGCCTCACGATTCTCAACCACTTCATTTTCCTTTTCTATTGTCAAATTTATTACAAGGACAAAAAAAATTAAGTAACCCTTCAGGGTGGCCCAGTGGTTTGGGCTTGGGGCTTCCATGTTGGAGGTCTCAAGTTTGAAACCCCTTGTCAATAAAAGCAAGGGGTTTGCCTTCTGGGTCGAGTTCGTCGCACCGGCCTTGCCTAGTGCGGGTTACCTCTCTTATGTGGTTTGCAAGCTATCGCATAGGAGTGGGGGTTTTACCCTGTGCGCACCCAAAGGGTAGCGGCTGCGGGTTTCCCTTGTCATCGAAAAGAAAAAAGGACAAAAAAAGTTAAAGTGATTATCTTTTTTTTAAGAAAAAGATAATGAGTTTTTAATTTTTTTTGTCCTTATGATAAATTTGACAATGAAAAGGAAAAATGTACATTAATCTAGCAATCTAGCTGAATAATCAGACTTTGAGCAGCAAGAAATACAAAATGCGGAGGAGAGCAAGGTTGTAAGAGCCAAAGAAGAGATGTAATCTAAAATTTAGTTTGAGCTATCTCAATTTAGTATAAACAATCTTTAATTATTGTAGGCTATCTGTTTTTTGTATTTTTATCAATATAATATTGTTTTACACCGTAGGACCTCCTATATTATTGAATTATTGATTTCAATATTGTTATAGATACCGGTAATATGCCGATAGGTGATGGAAATATGTTAGAAGTCTTCAAGAATGTTATAGATTCAAAACAGGATCTAACTAAAATGAATAATGACGTTGATGTTGGATACTTTCTTGAGTTGAAGAAGCAATATTACAAGTTTAGTTGCTTTCACAAAGGGTTATACCATTATGTGTTATTTAGACAAATCGAAAAGAGAAACCAAAAAAAGAGTTCTGATTTTTTTGTTGGAAATAAGTCTATACAGTTTGGACTTACAAGGCAAAGTTATTGAGAGTCGTAAAGATTGCTAAGGGAGATGAACCAGAGGGGACCTTGGTAAAATACATTGTAGATGGCTTATCAGATGTATTTGGGAGACTTGTATCTTGTTCTTTTCACGCTTATTTAATTTTAGCTACTAATTATGGGAACTTGGTAACAATTGTTGTCGTTTTGGTTGAAGTTATGGCATGTTAGACAATTGACATATATGAGAAGAATCCTTGGTGTGAGATCAACCGAGCATCCAAGTGCCATTACTAGAATTTTGAGATGGCATTGGAATGTTTTGATTAAGGTGAAGAACAAGGATGAGAATAAGAGTTACATTTCAGAAAAATGAGGTAAAAATTTGTTTAAACTCAGCCTAATTTGCCTGATCCAAAATACAATTAACTGTTACACTACTTGTGTTATCAAGTTATTACTTTGTTTGGTCATTGTAGCTATCAGCAGTTGTGTATCTTGCCCATCAATTGTGGTTTTTCGCATCTTTTTCTTGTATTGATATTTAGAAATTGGTTAATACTTTCAAAATGTTTTCCAAGGTTTATCTTGCTCGACAATCTTTGCGGTTCACTCAACAACTTTGGCTCGTAAGTCCAATCAAATAGGTTAGTTGCCGACCAAAATGCAAGCTCATTCTTGTTTTTTGGTTCAATTTGTCTAAGTAACATATAATGGCATAACCTCTATGAGAGCAACTACACCTTCAATATCGCTCTTCGAACTCTAGAAAATCTTCAAAACCAGCTTCATTAATTATTTTAGTTAATAAATCTTGTTTTGAATCTATAATACCTTTGAACACACCTAACAAATTTCCAATCCCACATCTAATAGCCATCTTATCAATATACTGCTGATATCATCAATCACTATATGAAACCGACAATTCAACAAAATAAGAGGTCGTTATGGTCTAAAACAATATCATGTTGAATAGATCGCCTACCATAATTAAAGATCGTTTATCCTAAATTTAGATTGCTCAAACTAAAACTTTTATTACATATCTCTTCTTCAACTCTTCTAACCTCATGTTTCTCCATATTTTGTACCCTTTTCTGCTCAAAGCCTGATACTTCAATTGGATTGACGTACATTTTTCATCTTGATTATCAAATTTTATTATTCTGGATGAAATTTTTTAACACTCATTATCAAAAATTCACATACCTCAATAACACTATATCATTATTGTTATTCATCGCTCGGATCTCTAATTCTCCGACTTCTTCGTCATGAACAACTTCATAACCAATGTTCTCTATTTCATTGAATCACAGATGCTCAATTCATCTCTTCGATTTATGGTTGTCTTCATTAGATTCTACCACTTTGAACTTTCTATTAATGGGAAAAATAAAGAGGAAGGGATCTTTATGATCACCTTTTCCCTATAACATTAAGTATAGGCAGGGGTAGATCTATGTATAAGGTTGGGGGTGCCATGGCACCCAGTGCCTCGATGAAACGGTGTGTGTATATATAAGAAATCGTATATATTTAAATCCTGCCACCCTGAGGAACAAAAGAACGAAAGGTGCTAGTGGCAAACAACGCAATGTACCATCCAAGCGATGAGAGTTCGAACTTGAAGTGCAACACTATTATTTTTGGCTTCCTCTTTTGGTTGCTGCGATTCGCGAAGAAGAGCTTCAACTCTCTTTTTTCCCCAATAATTCTTCTTATACTTCTATTCTTTACTAATTCAAATTGCTTCTTTTTTATTTTAATTAATTCTTAACCTTTTTAACTTTCACTTTCACTGAGTATTAATCACTTGATAAGAGTGTCACGTGCGTATCTCATATCAATAAATACTATATTTAAAATGTCACATAGTATTATGTTAGAATTTATAAAACTTAAAGGTTATTTTGATCTTTTATTGATGTTTGAGCTATGTGAAGATGACTGAATTGAAGCTATAATTCTTAATCTTTCTCAACTATATATCTACAACACCACATAGAAAATTATATATGAATATAACAATATTAGATGGTTTATACAAGTTCAATTTTTTTTAACGTTAAATTTTTATTCCTACAAAAAGAATTGGACAACTTAAATATCTTTAATCTCAAAATATCTAGAAAAAAAATTTACTAACTATGAATATTCGATCAATTTGTCTATACAAATCGACCAAGATAAATAACCCGAATCATAACCCAAAATTGAAGAAATTGACCCGTTTATTCGATTTAGACAGTGTGGCACCTGGAACCTCCTAATGCTGGATCCGCCTCTTGGTATAGGCGATCACCAAATGCACATAGGCGATCCCCAAAATATAACATAGGCCATTTATAGTGAAAATAAAATTTTCTATAAATGAAGCCAAATGGTGGCTTATGCACAAGAACTGGTCTTTCTATAGTGTGAAAACATATTTTTGAAGTTCAGTAGGGATTTGGCAAAAGATCAGTTCAAGTAAACCTTCAATAGTTAATTAAAAATAAAATGGGTGGAGCAAAATAAGAAATATGAAATGCACCCAAGGGTGTGGCACAGTGGTCAAGGAAGTGGTTGAGAACCCTTAGGTCTCAGGTTCAAAACTCAGCAGAGACAAAAATCACTAGGTGATCCTTTCCAACTATCCTAGTGTCGGTAGACAGAGTTACCTGGTACCGGTCGCTGGTGGGAGGTGAGGTATCCCATGGAATTAATCGAGGTGGCAAAAGCTGGTCTGGCCAGCACGGTAATAAAAAAAAAAATTAAATTCTTGCACAGAAAGACTCATCAATGGACCGCACGATAGAGTAAACAATAAGAAGAAGGAGAAAGATGAAGTAGCATGTATTGATCTGTGATAGTTAAGTGAAAAGGTGTTTGACGCAAGAGATCTTATTTAGGTGTTCTTATTCTTTTGTATTTTTTATTGCCTCTCAAACATCTTCTCTTTCTGACTTGGAAAATATGAAAAAGTTTAATTCAAAAATAAATTAGAGGACTCCTATTCATTTTTTATACAGAAGTCTTTATCAAAAAGTGGATTCAGAATCTTAAACAGAGACAAATTATTTTCTTCTCTGTCTCTACTGAATAGAAACTTTGGTCTTTGTTCCAGCTTCATCAACATTCATGTACAGCAGCAACCCCAAATTATAAACCCTAGCCAACAAAAGTTTTTCAAACTAACATTTCGAAAAAATATCTTACTTCTACTCATCATTTCAAACACAAAAAACTCAATTTTCGTACAAATGTGAAGCGGGTGATCGTACCGTATTCCTCCATCGATCCTGAGAATTCACGTCGGCGCCGTACTCTATCAAGCATTTAGCGATATCGATCCAACCATGAAGGGCGGCAACGTGAAGTGGAGTGCGGTTATCGTAATCCCTAGCTTGAACAAGCGTACGGTCTTCTTCTAGAAGTTTCCGGACGGCAGCCTTATCGTTTTGGTGTGCGTGCCATAGAATAAGCGATGTTCGACTAACTCTCGCTTTCTCTTTCTTCTTCTTCTCCTTCTCCGTCGATGATGTCGCCGGTTCTCCGCCGCCGGAACTACCTTCGCTTCCGCTCATTTGTTTTTCTGACCTCTGTGTGAAGTGTGCACACGTAATTTTTTAAAAAAGATTTATTTATTTTATGAACCATAACTTAATGGACTCCAATAAATCATTTATTTTGAGAAAAATATTATTTTTATATTTTTTTAAATTAAAACAATTTTAAAAATTTATAACTACAGGTTTTCCTACACTAATATCATTGATGGATAAAATTTTAATTTTAAGTTGTTTGTAAATTTTTACTTCTTCTAGATGATTAGGATAAAATTTAAATATAATGTCAAATGCAACTAAGAAAAATAAAAATAAAAAAGTTTCATAAATGAGGTTTCGGAAAGGTAGAGTTACGCAAATATTACTTCTATTCAAAATACGATAAATAAATTATTTCCTATTAACTCTCGACAGTATATATATATATATATATATATATATATATATATATATATATATATAAGATAATTTGTTCTAGACTTTGAACATGCAGCTTTTGTGCAAGGTAATCTCATGATATACTCAAACACTATAAATGGGTAATAAACATAATATACAATTTAAGTACATAAATAACCTCTATATAACAATAATTTGACTTCTCACAAACATAGCAATAGAATTTTTGTAAGACACGAAAAAATTAAAAAAAAAAATGGAAAACGGTCTGTTTTTTGAGCAAGAATCACAGCCTTACCTTATCTTCACCATGATACGGACTCCAAGTTCTTATGGCAGAGCACGAGGAGATTTATCATCAATAGGGGAAGCCGCGGTCGAACTCAAATTCTGGAAATAAGTCGAGGCCCTTTTACCAAGTCTACCAGATAGAAGATGATAGAGGGCCAACTATCGTTGCCTTGCACAAGACGGTGCCCTTTCACTTCGAGTTCCTTCCTTCGTAGTCAAATCTGATGATATGCTTTGGCGATGTTACCTACCAAATAAAAGGCCTGCTAGGTGATCGAAATTGCTCAGGTCAGTGAGGACTCACTCACTCATCTACTCCTTATCTATTTAATACTTTCTTCTATCTACTTAATTAATTTAAAAGGCGACCCGCCGCGCCGGGCTATAAGATAAGATACAGTTCTTGTACTACTTGATTGACTGGTAAGAAAGAGCTTCCGTAAGAACTGGAAGACTCTTGTATGTACGGTAACCCTCTCTTCCGCTACTGGTGGACTGTTGCACAGAAAGGGCGACATAAGCAACCTTTCTTAGTGCGCTTTTCAAGCGCTTAGCTTCTACTAGTGGCGGGGCGGCAAGGCCATGTTGTTCAGTTGGAAGCCTAAGCCAAGAAGGGCCATCTCTGTGGGAGGCTGCTACCCATAAGGCCATCTCGGGCATGGGAAAGAAAGGCGGCGGACAACCGACTTAACTGGAGAGCCTAAACGGCATTGAGGATGAGTCCACCGGTCGACAAACGGCTTCTATCTACAGGTGCTTTCATTATGGATCGGTCGACTTGTCACGATTGATTGCTCACACACAATTAGGTTAGACAGGCTTGGGGAGGTGATCTGAATCGCTATCGATACGATGCGGGGCTGATTTGCTGACCGTAACGAACTTGACTCTGCCCCAAAAAGGGCGGGAAGACCTTTGACCTGGGCTGGGGAGGGATTGGGGTCGCTTTTCTTTAGGACTTTAGTCCGTAACAAGGCTCGAAGACCTCCGGCTGGATTTGAAATGGATCAGGTAGGGCATCCGTTTACGACGTGGGTGGAATTAGCAGTTTTCTCTATTTTCTTCAATGGTAGGAAATAGGCATCAGCGGGGGTATGTGGGAGGAAACCAGTCTGCAGTAATTCAAATTGCTCCTTCGGATCACTAAGTAAAATCTTGACTCACACATACCGCGGTGTATTGTTGTCAACTCACATAGTCGCACCTACCAGCAACAAGACGACTACTCCCTGCACGCCACTAAGCCTGACCTTCACGAACAGCTTTCTTTCAGCTACCAACTTCAAAGCTTGATCTCATCTCTCTTCTTTTGAAAGTTTAGTACTATTATTGTTGGCATGGAAGGAGTTCATCTTGAATTGCCAGTACAGTGATTGGAGGCCTTCCTCACCTGTTCTAGTGACATAGGCCCATCCGGTCGAGAGAAGAGACTTGAGATTAGCCACTAGGTGAAGTACCAAGGAGAGGATCGGCTTCAGCCATAACCAATACGGAGGGATTGACATAGTAAAGGAGGCTAAACAAAGCTATCAAAGGGATGTGCCCAGGCTCGGAATATCCTTCTTTCGTACCCAAGAGTAGCCCTATTTCTAATAGGAGCAATTCAAGCATTAATTAGTACTACCTCAGATCTAAAAGGAAAGGAAGGAGAATAAGGGAAGGTGCCAAGTAGCTGATTGCACATTACTAAGGCAAGGAATAAGACGTCTGAGAAGGGATGCCGAAAAAAGGCTTCAATTTAATCTGGTGCAAAGTCAGTAGTACTAGGGCCTTCGAGTAGGAATTTCCAACTATAAACAAGTGTAGCGAAGTCACCTCCATTCTCGATTTCTATTGCGACAGAGGGAGGTATCATAATAGAGTCAAAATCACGATTAGAGTCAGTCCAGATAAAAGGAAGAATCCAATCCCCTTCTTCCTGATCTTATTGGCCTTACAGCGGGCCTAAGAGCAAGGAAGTCTCAACTCCCCAATCCCCCAGGGTGAGGGGTGAACCTTCTGTCTGATTCAATCTCATCTATTGTTGCTTTCGAATCGGCTGAAAGAGTATTTTGATGTCACTTAGGAGAAGTATAGGGAAGTGTGCCTAAGTCTTCTATAATAAGTAGTTGTGACTCAGTCTAGCTAGGACAGAGCCATCCTAAAGAGACTTTCTTCTGTTCTAGGTTTCCACAAAGCGGTATCAGGGTATGAGAACGCCTTTCTCCTATATATAATCAAGTCTTTGGTTTAGATCAATCAATCCTCAATCCGGGCTCTTCACCTGTAACCTTAAGGAATACAGAAAGTTACCCGAAATTCCTAGCAAGGACTTTGCCTGCTATTCATTCCTAAATCCCTTTCACCCTTAACTAGCTAACTCGATGGGACGTCAACAGCGGGAACACTCGACTAGAATGAGTGGATGTTAGGCACGCAGGGAAGACTCTGACTATGCGCTGGCACTAGCCCTGGGCATGGATTCTTCTTTGATTGAAGGAACGGGACAGAAGAGAACCAGAACCATATCCTTCACACATTCAGTCTGATCTTATCTGTGCTATTGCCCGATCATAGCTGTACTGTATTAGATTAGTTATCCGTCTCCCCTGCCCTGTTAGAACAGTCTGGTCTGTAACAACACAACCTGAAAGGAAGCCATTCCTAATAGGAAGTTTCCCTGGCTTGAAATTCACTCGCTTATCCGGAATGAGCTACTGAGTTGGAGTACAGGAAAGAAACACCACTTCTTTATTGTCTTGAAACTCCGCTCTGAACCCGAATCGTAGAACTCGAACGTTGTTATGAGCAGCTCTGGTGCTCGATCTTAGGTCTGAGGTATGGGTCGAATCATGATAAAGAAGGTTTGGTGGTTGTATAATTCCCAAGCGGAAAATCGTATACTTTAAAAGTAGATGGAGTGATCAAGCGGTCCTTCTTGCGCCAACATACATCCAATGGCATAGAGTGATGCGTCAGTATGAACATGGAACTCCTTATTCCAATTCGGAAACCGAAGGATTGGGGCTGACAACAAACACTCATCTGCATGCTTAAAGGCTTAATCCTGTTCCGGTTCCCAAGCCTTATACCTTTCTTCTGCAATGATTCCATTCTGGGATTCCGCGCTTCGAAAAGTCTTTTTTGATGCGTCTGTAATAGCCTATGTATCCCAAAAAAGAACGTGCTACGCCCGGCCCCCTTTTCAGTAGATGAGATTAGGATGAAAAGGCTTTCTTTCATTAACATTCCGTGAAGGTGCATAGCTTCTTTGAATGTCCCGCGGATTGACTACTACATCTAGGGACGGGACTGATCCCGAAAGAGAGGTCTTTCTTTATGGTTATGAAATCGCTTTGATTGAAAAGCAAGTCGATGATGCCATAAGTCAAACGGGCGGGTGAGGCTAGAGTCCTTCACTGCACTCACTGGAGAGAGGGTAACATATCCTATATAGTAGTAAGGTCTTATCCCATGTACTCAATTAATTTCTCAGTCCCTCTAGTCGGGTGGGCTCCGACCGGTTTTTCGACCAGATCCCCCTAAAAACCGTACGTACGGGTCTCCCCGCATGCGGCTCACGCTATTCGAGGTGGCCCAGCCCAACATTCATTCGCAAATCCTGTAGTGAAATTGAGACTGCTCAACCTCGGAGATTATGAATTTTGAGATAGAATCAATCGAAATTGAATGGATGAATCAAATCCAATCACAATCAAAAGGGAAGAACAATTAAGGAAAACAGAACTCAAGGCGCAAGTACAATAAAAAAGCAGTTCAGTAATCCGGGAAAGGTTTTCACCTATTTTTTATTTGTAGCATTTTGGCGACATGGCCGAGTGGTAAGGCAGAGGACTGCAAATCCTTTTTTCCCCAGTTCAAATCTGGGTGTCGCCTGATCAACAAAAAAGTCGAAATATATTCTTTTGATATAACCCGCCGAATGATTCCCAGCAGAAGGTTGATATTTGTTTGATTCTAAAGACTAAAACTATTGCATATTTAGGCTTCTTCAAGGAAATATTCGAATGCTAGAGAGGCTATCAAGACTTCGAAAGCTTTCTTACATTATACGATAAGTTAGTAAAGGCATTTCAGGATATGATACGAGTGAAGAAAATCCCTTAGTAAGTCGGGTGAACAGAAAGGGAAAAGGAGAGTAAGCAAGGCTTTTAGCAGAAAAAGATGAAAATCGACTCTTTATCCCCTGTTCATTCTTCCAACAATTTATACGGCTTGATGAGGCGCGCTTTTCATGCAGAATCAGTCTTCTCTGGTGCCAGCTGTGGAAAGATTCCCTAGTTCCAGCCAGCTCTGATATAGCACGGTTTGTCGGGGCGGAGTGGATCAATGGCAGGGGACC